TAAATATATAATTTCAAACTCTGATAAGGACAGGGAAGGAAAATTAAAGGGTGCTGAGAGATAGAATAAAGGGGAGAACTCACTTTTATTTGTATTTTTATTTTTTGAGACAGAGTCTTGCTCTGTTACCCAGGCTGGAGTACAGTGGCATGATCTTGGGTCACTGCTACCTCCACCTACCTCCTGGGCTCAAGCATTTCTCCTGCCTCAGTCTCCGGAGTAGCTGGGATTACAGGCATGTGCCACCACGCTTGGCTAAATTTTGTATTTTTGGTAGAGATGGGTTTTGCCATGTTGAGCAGGCTGATCTCGAACTCCTGACCTCAGGTGATCTGCCCACCTCGGCTCCCAAAATGCTGGGATTACAGACATGAGCCGTTGTGCCCAGCCTACGTTCAGTCCTTACATCTTCCCATTGATCAAGTATATTTAGCATATTTCAGGGTGTTTTATAATGTTAAAATATTTCTTCATAAATTTATGCCTAGGTGTTTTACCTTCTTCTCTGCTGTTCTGAATGTCTCTCATTATGTTTTCTAAAGGAACTGGAACCACTCTCTCATCTGATTGTGTGTGATGACATGCTAGAGTGGAAAATCCTAGGCTTGGGTTGTCGGAGGCCTGGGTTTAAGCCTGAGGTTTGCCAGTTGCTGGCCAGCAGGTCCCTGGGCAAGTCTCTTCTGCTTTTTGAGACTTAGTTCCTTTCTCTGTAAGGGGGAAAGAATAAACCTCAGAGGCTTGCTATAATTATTCAAAGTGTGTAAAGTGTTTGGCCCTCAGTATATATTAACTTTCTTCCTCTTGCCTCCTAAGTAGGCTGGGTCAGGAGTACAATTTCTTTTTCTTTTTGAGACTGAGTTTTGCTGTTGTTGCTCAGGCTGGAGTGCAATAATGCAATCTTGGCTCACTGCAGCCTCTGCCTCCCAGGTTCAAGCTATTCTCCTGCCCCAGCCCCCCAAGGTTACAGGCATGTGCCACCGCGACCGGCTAATTTTTTTTGTATTTAGTAGAGACGGTGTTTCAGCATGTTGCTGAGGCTGGTCTCGAACTCCTGACCTCAGGTGGTCCACCCACCTTGGCCACCCAAAGTATTGGGATTATAGGCGTAAGCCACTACGCCCGATAGGAGTACAATTTCTAACCAGCCCCTTTATCCAAAACCAGGATGGTTTTCTTCTTCCCTGATCACTTCCTCTCTGAGACCCTGAAGCACTATAACATGTGACAACCTTTTTCCTTCCAGTCAAAACTCCCTAGGTAGGAGGCCCCTTGCCACTACCCATTGGGTCTGTCTGTGCCTGGCTTAGGCAGCTATCTTGGGCAGCCTGCCCATTAGAAAGAATGGAAGGTTGTGTTCCTTGCCAGGACTCTTGAGGCTCAGCTCTGGAACCAGCCTGGGAATCTGTCTCAGGCAAGTCACTGACTGCTGGCTTATAGGGCTTGGTACAATCTTCCCAGTGTTTGAGGCTGATGGCTGAATTGTAGGGCCCAAGGGTGAGGTTGGCACCCAGGCACAGTACCTTGTGAGCTGCTCTGGCTCCTGGCCAGCCCCAATAGGGCTTCCTTTTCCATTGGAGCTCGGCAGGCAGGCTAGAATAGTGACATCCTACAGATGTCCCAGAGCCTGCAGGGCGGAGCAGGGTTCCTATCCTGGTGGGAGGTGATATTGGATACTGCGTTGGCAGTGAACTACTTTTTACAGCTCCAGCCCTATGGGAGGGCTGGGCCACTCACCCAACAGGACTGGTTGTTGTACCTAACTCTACAGGAAGCTGTCCTTCCAGGGCTGTGAAAAATTTCTGCTTTCCTTAAGCTCTGACATTGCCGGTCTGTTTGGCAAAGTGGAGGGCCAATCAGGTTGCCTGAGGACAAGAGCAGATGTTGGGTCCTGCTCTCATGAGGCTGTTCTACTCTGAACATGGGTCTGAATCCTGGCTTTTTTGCTTGCTTGCTGTGTGGACTTAGGCAAGTCCTTTCGTCTCTCTGAACCTCACTTTTATGATCTGTAAAATGTGGATAAGGATATTTATAGCTCCTAGAGTGATAATGCAGTTGGGAAGAAATGCATTTTGTTTATTTATATATTGGGGACAAGATCTCGCTCTATCACCCAGGCTGGAGTGCAGTGGCGTGATCTTGGCCCACTGCAGCCTCAACCTCCTGGGCTTGGGTGATCCTTCTGCCTTAGGCCCCTGAGAAACTGGGACTACAGGCACACACCACTGTGCCCGGCCAGAAATGCATTTTAAAAAGTCTGCAGACTGCCAGATGATGTTCAAGAGCTCAGGTGGTCATGCCAAGTACCTCTGTGTTCTGGTCCACCTATTCTCCATATCCCCACCTATCTGATGCCTGATCTGTCTGTTTACTCACTCATTTATTCATGTAGTCACTATGTATTGAGTGTGGCTACCCTACCTGGCATGTGGGTCTGCAGTGGTGAACAAGGCAGCCATGGTTCTTGTCCCCCTGGCGCTTGTTCCTGTGACAGACGGGAAATAATCAAGAAAACGAATACATTATAACCACAAGATGTGATGAATGCTATGAAGGTAATGGAAGAAAAGAGAAGGAGGCTGCTTTCATTTGAGGTTAGAGAGGTAGGCAGGGGCCAGACTTTGGTGGTCTTCAGGGCTTCTCTTTTAGGCTTTATTCTAATAAAGTGCAATAGGAAGACTTCGAGGGGGTTTAAAAGCAGAAGAGGCCTTGTCCAGTTTTCATTTTAAAAAGACCACTCTGCCAATATGTGAATGGATGGGGCAAGTGTAGAAGATGGAAGACCAGTAGGAGGCTATTGTGGCAGGCTGGGGGAGATGATCGGGGCTTAGGCTGGGGTGGAGATAATGCAGACATAGAAAAATGGAAGGCTTACATGTTTGTGAAGGTAGAATTGATGGGACTGGGTGAAGAAGTAAGTGGCTGTAGGCATTGAGGGAGAGGGGCTTTCAAGCATGGTGGTAGATATTCAGCTTGAGCAGCTGGGTGATGGCGGTGCTCTTTACTCAGACAGGGACAACCTGGGGGGAAGAGGTTTTGGAGTGAAGATTCTGATTCTGGCCTGAGAGTTGTCTTGGGCCCCCTCATGGCTCACTTCCCCACTGCATGAAACCTGACCACTCCAGAGCCCCTGTGACCCTCTGTTTTGCGTATTATCACATATGTATTAGCTTTTATGTGGGTTGATGGCCTCCCTGTGTGTCTGGCTGATCTTCCTCTAAAACCTCATTGCAGGTTGTACAGAAAAGAGTTAACATAGCAGGCCTGAGACTGCTATTCTTAAAAAAGGCTTGCTGGCAAGGTTGGCGCTTGGCTGGCTTCTGGGAAGTTGGATTTTGGGGGTGTTTATACTACCCTAACTGATAAGAGTGGCTCACTGTGCCTAAACTGTGCAAACATTGTGGTTTAGGCTGAACGTCTGCTTTCCTTCCGAGAGTCTGGAATCTTGGTATGTGCTGGGCAGAAGGTGCTTAAGTGACCAGCCCCCAATATAGACCTTTCACAGTGAGTCTCTAATGAATTTCCCTGGTAGAAAACACTTCACACATGTCACAATTCCATGCTGGAAGAATTAAGTACATCCTGTGACTCTACTGGGAGGACTCCGGAAAATCTGCACCTGATTTCCTCTGGACTTTTCCGTTTGATGATTTTTCTTTGTACCCCTTTGCTATAATAAATCATAGCCGTGGCCCGCAAATGAATCACTGAACCTGAAAGTAAGTGGCTTGAGGACTCCCTACACACTGGTGGATAACTTTTCCTAACTCCTAAAACTATCTACCACTGGGTCTTCTCTTTTGGCAGAACTGAGCAGAGTGAGTCCCAGTGCTTCTTGGTTTGTTTTCGTGTGACCCTTGCTGCAGTGTAGGGGATCATCGTGTGTGTGTGTGTGTGTGTGTGTGTGTGCACACATGTGTGTGATGGAGTCTCACTCTGTCACCCAGGCTGGAGTGCAGTGGCATGATCTTGGCTCACTACAACCTCTATATCCCAGGTTCAAGCGATTCTCCTGCCTCAGTCTCCCCAGTAGCTGGGATTACAGGCACCTGCCACCACACCCGGCTAATTTTTTTGTACTTTTAGTAGCAACAGGGTTTCCCCATGTTGGCCAGATTGGTTTTGAACTCCTAACCTCAAGTGTTTCACCTCAGCCTCCCAAAGTGCTGGGATTCCAGGTGTGAGCCACTGCACTGGGCCCATGATGTGGTTTAAAGGGCATGAGACCTTATGTCAGAGCTGGGGATTTGTGACTTAGTTCTGCTACCATTGACCTCAGGCCAATCCCTGTCTCTGGTTGTCTGTCTCTCTCTTTGAAAGAGAAGGGAGTAAGTTTGTTAGCTCAGAGGGCCCTTCTTGGATTAAGAAGTGCTGAAATTTTACTTTACCAACAGCAACTGGTATCTTTCTGTCAGACACAGTGGCAGGTTGGAGCTGAGGCAGCAGGACAGACTGTGAGTGAGTATTTCCTGGGCTTCAGCTTCACTACTTTTTTGGTAAGAGCTTGGGGTCTTGGGATGGGTACAGATAGAGGGTGGGGAACTGCCGTCCCCCTTCTGGCTACCATTCCTATTTCTCTTTCTGATTCCTGGTAAGCTAATTGTGAGGTGATTGGGGAACATGTCTTATGAGGAACTGAGCTTACCTATCATGGCAAAGTCAGGAAAGTGAAAGACAGAGGATCCTGGATGAAAGAATGGCATCCACCACGTTTTGGTAAGTCTGTGGGGATAGGAAAAGGACCAATCAGATTTCAGGTGAGTATCAAGAGGTACAAAGGGCCAGTCATGGATAGCTCATGCCTGTAATTCAGCACTTTGGGAGGCTGAGACAGGAGGATTGCTGGAGGCCAGAGGTCAAAACCTGCCTGGTCAACATAGTGAGACCCCATCTCTACAAAAAATAAAAATAATTAGCCGGGGCTGGTGGTGTGTGCCTATATTTCAGCTCCTCAGGAGGTTGAGGCAGGGGGATTGTTTGAGCCCAGGAGTTCAAGAGTTTGAGGCTGCAGCGAGCCACGAATGCATCACTGTACCCCAGGCTGGGTGACAAAGCAAGATAGCAGCGTAATCTGGCTTGGAGGTAGTAAGGCCCTGTTAATTCCAGGTGTTAGAGCTGAGAGAAAGGGATTGTGTGGCAGGCATTCTTGTGTAGGGCAGGGTGTCAGACTGGGTGGCCGTGCTGGGCATTGGTCTAAAGGGAGATGCTGTGACCCTCCAGACCTCCAGGAAGTCTGGCCTAGAAAAGGATAGAGGTGAGTGCTCTATGCTCGGTCTTGAGGATGAGGGCAGAGAATAGCCAAGAGCTCCTGGAATTGGTCATCTCAGGGCCAAGCTCAGCAAAAGGCTGAAATCTGGGAAATGTGGTGCTCTCAATTTCTAGGGCACATGGCATAATTCCATGAGAAGTTTATGTCTCCAGGTTTTTCCACCAGGGAGATTTTTACGCTCAGCCTTCTCAACTGTGGGATAGAAGGCTTTTGTTCCTCGTTAAATGGATTTCAGTGTTTGTCAAGCAGGTGGGGAGGTGCAGGGAGATGGATTTGGTGGTTACTGTGACCACATTTTTTGAGTCAAAAATCAGAACACATAGCTTTGATGTAATCTCACAGTAGCACAGGATATTTGAAATAGGGGCTGTTGAGGAAAATCCCAGGATACAGGGTTATGATGGCTTCGTTGTTTAGCTGCATGTATTCTCCTTGGATTCCAATACTTGCTTTTTCCATCATGGCAGACTTCCCGGAGCCAGCTGTATGCAATCATACTTACCTGTTCCTACTCAGAGGCACTGGGCCAGTCTTGCTGTGGTTTCCTGTGAAATCTTTAATTGCCTGTCACCTTTCTCTTAAGAAACTTGAAATAAACACTAAGACGAATGAGTCACGGTGAGTTGGTTTGGTTTGGATGTGGCCTTCTTTGGGTGTGCCTGTGCCTGGGGTCCTGGCCAGTTGCCTGCATGTTTTAAGGATAGTGTAATAGAAAAAGTACTTTACTGCAAATCAAGAGGCTGAGTGTTGTCCTGCCCTCCTGCTGACTCACTCTGTAGTTCCAAGCAAAAGCCTTTTCTGAGTTTGATCATCTTCATAGGGAATGTGTTTGGCTGCACACAACAGAAAATCATGTAGGGGTTTGTTTTTCTCATATAACAAGAAGTCCTAAGGCTGGGATGGTGGCTCCATGATGCTAAGGATGAAACTATTTCCCTCCTTCTACTTTGCAGTTCTTTTTTTTTTTTTTTTTTTTTTTTTTTTTTTTTTTTTTTTTTTTTTTTTTTTTCATTTATTTTAAAAAAACGATGGTTAGATGCCACAAAGTAGGTGGCAGTGCTTTAACCGTGTGTGTGTTGTCAGGCCCAAGGGCCTCTTCCATCCTTGTGGAGGGGAGTGCTAACTTCTCTCCTCTCATACAACACTCCTTTGTAGTTCTTGATGATTTCATTGTGCTAAGTTGCTTCCTCATTGAAAGAAGGCTGCTCTGCCTCTGCATGTAATGTTTGTCTTTGGACTGGAAGAAGAAAGAAGTGAGGGAGCAGTTTGAATGGGGTATTCCTTGTGTCAGGAATAAAGAGTTTTCCCAGTTTATGTCCTTGTTTGTGGTCACCCCTAGTTACAAAAGAATATAGGGAAGCAAATCATTTTAGCAGGACCTGTTGCCTCTCAGAATAAACTTGGTATCAGGTATCTATTGCTGCATGACAAACCATCCCCAAATTTCATGGTTTAAAGCAATATAGTTATTCTTTCTCACAGTTGTGAATGTTGCCTGGGCTTGCCTGGACAGTTCATATACTCACATGATGTAGCTGTGGTCAGTCATTTAGCTACATTCAGGGAGCTCAGCAGGGAGCTCAACTGGAGCCACAGTGTCCAGGATGACTTCTCTTGTAGGTTCTGTCCCATGGGACATCTCATCATCCCATAGCGTAGTTCAAGCTGCTTTATAACATGGCAGCTGGTTTCCAAGAGGAAGGATTCCGAGTGGACAAGCCCCAGTATACAGGTGCTTATCAAGCCTCTGCTTACATCACATTTGCTAATGTCCCATTCGTCAAAGTAAGTCATATGGTCAAGCCCAGAGTAGGCATGGAAGGGCATGAATCCCAGGAGATAAAGTTCACTGGAGACCACCAGTGTAGATGTCTGCCACAGGGAGAATTCAGGGAGAATGTTTGCCACAGTGGGCTAGGCCTGAACGGTGTTTTGCAAATGGTGAGTCCTGAAAGCAATTTAGTAATTAAGGAAAATAAGAAATAGAATATAAAACATCAGGGTGGGCTTGGTGTGGTGGCTCACGCCGGTAATCCTGGCACTTTGGGAGGCTTAGGTGGGAGGATCACTTGAACCAGGAGTTAGAGATCAGCCTGAGATCATAGTGAGACTCTGTCTCTATGAAATAAACAAAATTAGCCATGCATGGTGGCATATGCCTGTAGTCCTAGCCACTCAGGAGGCTGAGGCGGGAGGATCCCTTGAGCCCTGGAGTTTGAAGCTGCAATGAACTATGACTGTGCCACTGCACTTTAGCCTGGGCAATACAGTGAGACCCTGTCTCTGCAAAATAAATAACATTAGCCAGGCATGGTAGCATGTGCCTGTAGTTCTAGCCATTCAGGAGGCTGTGGTGGGAGGATCCCTTGAGTGCAGGATTTTGAGGCTGCAATGAGCTATGATTGTGCCACTGCATGTTAGCCTGGGCAACACAGTGAGACTATGCCTTAAAAAATTCAGAATGCTGACGGAGGGATGGATGCAGCAAACCACCATAGCACGTGTGTCCTATGTAACAAACCTGCACGTTCTGCACATGTACCCCGGAACTTAAGGTATAATAAAAAAAAATTCAGAATGTATTGTAGATATATGATATGCATAAATATGTACATTATGTCTGTAATAATGTATGTTTATAAATATGCAACTATATATAAACACATACATGGGACACAATGAAAAATGCGTTTCATACTGTGGCCTTGGGCATCTCTGGGCTCCAATGCTTTGATTCTGTAGCAGAGTTTGTTGGTGAATGTCCTGCCAACCCCCTTCCGTGTGAGGAGCTGTGTGATGGGGATGCATCCTGTCCCCCGGGGCATAAATGCTGCAGCACCGGCTGTGGCCACACCTGCCGCGGAGACATTGACGGAGGTATGTTGGCTCTTTTGGGAAGAAATCCTTGAGTATTTCCTGAGAAGAGTGCTTCTCTTTCCCCTCCTGGGAGGAGCTAGGATTCTCATTCTTCCTGTCTCTCTAGTCCCTCAACACAAAACAATCTCTCCTTCTGGGGCCAAGGGGGCTCTGTGGGCATTAAAAGAACTAGGGGAAGGCACTGTGGGGCAGAAGGAACTACTTGGGCTAGAAGACAGGTAGTGTGGCTTATGATCTTGATCCTACTGAGGTTTTGCTCGTTTTGCTCTGTGACCTTGGATAAGCAAACTCCTCTTTTTTTTTTGTTTGTTTGAGACAGAGTTTCACTCTTGTTGCCCAGGCTGGAGTACAATGGCACGATCTTGGCTCACTGCAACCTCCACCTTCCAGGTTCAAGTGATTCTCCTGCCTCAGCCTCCTGAGTAGCTGGGATTACAGGCATGTACTACCATGCCCAGCTAATTTTGTATTTTTAGTAGAGACGGGATTTCTCTGTGTTGGTCAGGTTGGTCTCGAACTCCCAACTTCAGGTGATCTGCCCGCCTTGGCCTCCCAAAGTGCTGGGATTACAGGCGTGAGCCACCACACCCAGCCTTGCAAACCTCTCTTTTCTAGCCCAAGTTTCTTTATCTGTAAAATCAGTGCCCAAGATCACTGATTTTCAGATCTAATTTTTAACAAAAAGCTTCTCCCCTACCCCAAATAAAATCTTAGTTGGAAACATATATATAAAGAGATAAAAGCATTCCTGTTCCAATTCCTTTGTTTCTTCAACATTTAAAAAAAAAAACAAATACTTTGAGTGCCAGGTACTGTGTTCTCCGTTAAAGAATCACTGACCCTGGTGCTATCTTAGTCCCTTTAGATTCCTGGGCAATGCTCAACGCTGAGGACAGACTCTTGTTCTTATGTAACTTATAGCCTATCAGGGAAGATAGACATATTCCTTTTAAATAAGGAATTACCATAAAGGGAATTAATGAATTACCGTAAAGTTCTATGAGAGGAAGCATACAGGGTGCTACAGGAGCACAAAGCGGGGACATCAAACCTTGTCTAGGGTGGCACAGAGGAGTCTGCCGTGAGGCAGTGACTCTGTGAATCCCAAGCAGAAGGGGAGAGGGTGGTGGTCTGGGAGCCTAGCCCCTGACATACTTCTACCCACCCCCACCCCAAACCTGCAGAGGTGTCAATTCCCAAGTTACCTTTTGGGAACTCCCTTTGGGGCACCATTTGAAAACTGTGGGCTCAGAGGTCTCTTGGGTTCCTGCAGATTCTCAGATCCTCTAACTCCATGGTTTCCCAGCCGGCTGAGTTGGGTCTAGTTAGGGTCAGGGGTTGAATGGCCTGGAGCCTCTGTGTCTAAGTTTTAGATGGGAACATGGAGATGGCAGAGCTGACGTCTTGTCCCTTTACCTATGCCTGTTGTTCCCACAGGGCGGGACGGTGATTGTCCGAAAGTTCTGGTGGGCCTGTGCATTGTCGGCTGTGTGATGGATGAGAATTGTCAAGCTGGAGAAAAGTGCTGCAAGTCAGGCTGTGGCCGCTTCTGTGCCCCAGCAGTCCTGTCCCCAAAACTGACCATGAACCCCAACTGGACTGGGAGGTCTGATTCTGAATTAAGTGAGTACTGTCCATTGTCATCAACAATAATAGACAACTGTTGTGTGCAAAGCACTGGCCTAGGTGCTGGGAAGGGGACTTCAGAAGGCCAGGAAAAGTCTGGCTGGAGAGAAAGAACCTATGTCACAGATGAGAACCCTCATACAAACAGTACAGGCTGGCACCTGTTCCCAGGTGTGGCTCCCTGGTAAGGTCTTTGTGGGAAAGGTGGGATTTGATTGAGGTCCTTAAGCCTAGGCAGATGTGACAAAGTGAGGACAGCACAGGAACATGCCAGACAGGTAATCTGGTGACTGCTGGCACAGGAACACAGTGGGAATGTGTGTGATGTGTTTGGGAGAAGTGGGGGCAGGGTGGGTAAAGGCACAGACATATCTTGAGGTTTTTTTTTTTTTTTTTTTGACATGGAGTTTTGCTCTTGTCACCCAGGCCTGGAGTGCAATGGCATGATCTCAGCTCACTGCAACCTCTGCCTCCTGGTTTCAAGCGATTCTTCTGCCTCAGCCTCCTGAGTAATCTCAGCCAGCTGGGATTACAGGTGCCTGCCACCATGCCTGGCTGACTTTTGTATTTTTAGTAGAGACGGGGGTTTCACCATATTGGCCAGGCTGGTCTTGAACTCCTGACTTCAGGTGATCTGCCTACCTCGGCTTCCCAAAGTGCTAGGATTACAGGCGTGAGCCACTGCGCCCAGCCGTATCTCCACTTTTTTTTTTTAACAGGAGATATAAGATTGACATCTGAATAATAAGAGCCTACAGTGTTAGTTGGGATTGGATTGTCTGGGAAGCAAGGATCCATTTAAGACTTCTGAGAACAATATAGGCCAAACTTTCCTACGGTGGAGGGGAAACACGTTGGGTAACTGAAGCCAGGAGGGCACAGCTGTGACTTCGTATTTCTTCTACTTGCAGAGATCCTGGTGCCCTAGCTGTGCTGATTTGTCTGGAGCTTCTTTGGTAACTCTCGAAGCTGTTCCTGGCAGTAAAGAGAGGGTGACATCCTGGGGCTTGTGACATTTCCAGGGGCACTCATGGCGCTCTCTGCTCTGCTTCTCCTCCTGCTACTGTCCAGAGCGTAGGAAACAGCCCTGGATTGGGCATTGGGTGTGTGGTGCTTCTCTTTCCCAATAAAGGCTGGTGCCGACCTCTTGTCTGTGCTGTTTGAGGGCTCAGATGATACGGGAGAGCTAGAGGGTATCAGCATGCCTGTGAGATTACATGATTTACATATTTAGGACAGATGGGTAATCTGTTCTTTCTGAGAACACTGAAAATGAGTGTGGGTTGGGTGTGGCTAGGGAAGAGATGGGTGGAAAGTAAACTGAGAGTGACCTGCTGTAGATGTCTTTCTCAAGCCCTGGTAGGGGTGAGGTCAGCCTTTTTTAGAACTGCTGAACTTCTTTATTGGTGAAGGTCGGCTGAGGGTGGAACAGGGGTGAATGGATAGTTTCTTTTTTTTTTTGAAACGTAGTCTTGCTCTCTTGCCCAGGCTGGAGTACAGTGGCATGATCTTGGCTCACTGCAACCTCCGCCTCCCAGGTTCAAGCAATTCTCATGCCTCAGCCTTCTGAGTAGCTGTGCCAAGTAGTAGAAACCCAGTCTCTACTAAAAATGCACAAATTAGCTGGGTGTGGTGATGTGATAACATACTGAGTTTTTAAAAACTATGTGCATGTATTGAGTTTTTAAATAAACAACAAAATGATAAAACAGTGGAGGAGGGATCTGCCAAAACGTTGAGCAGCCCATCACACAGACACTGGCCCTTCCCAGCTCCCTGCAACATAGTCCTGGAGCTGTGGGTGTCCCTGGGATGGCCACTGCGAGGCTCATGCCAGCGACTCTTTTTCAGACCAGGCAACATTGACATACGTCTACTCTACTCAAAAGAGACGAATGTTCTGAACTAGGTAGAAACCAGAATTTCACATGCCAGTATGAAAACAAGGGGGAGAAGGCACACAAACTCAGCAGTGGCCAGGCACGGTGGCTCATGCCTATAATCCCAGCACTTTGGGAGGCTGAGGCGGGAGGATCACTTGAGATCAGGAATATGAGACCAGCCTGGCCAACCTGGCGAAACCCTGTCTCTACTAAAAATACAAAAATTATCCAGGCGTGGTGGTGTGTGCCTGTCTGTAATCCCAGCTACTTGGGAGGCTGAGAGAGAGGCGGGAGAGAGAATCTCGAAGGGTTAAATTTGAAAGCTGGAGGTCAAAGGCTGAGCTGGGGCCAGATTCCCAGGCCTCTCCCCCGTCCCCAGGTCTTTCTGGGCAGCTTTCTCTACTGTTGTACCCTGAACTAGAGAAGCTGTTAGGACCTTTCCTTCCTCAGGGTTTAAGTCCATTTCAGCATAGTCCTGGAGTTGAAATGACCCGGGAGCAGGTCTCAGTGGACCTCGATCCTACTCCCTCATCTTGTACTCTGAAATTAGCCTCTGACCAGGTTGAAAAGCCACCCTCCTCCCCCGCCCTGCTCCTCAGGTTCCTCATCGTGGGCAGGAATGTCTGGGGCTCTGTCTCCAGTCCTCCAGTGTGGGCTGAGAAAGACCTTTTCTTTGATCAGAACCACGCAGCTCCCCGCTTCTCCACCCCATTCCTTGACCATCTGGTTGTAGAAATCTCAGACTCCACGTGTGCCTTTGGCCCCAGCAGGACCATGGGCCCCTGTGGCCTCCACTGCTCCCTCAGTGCCTGATGTTGGTAAGTAGCATATGCGGGGTGAGAAAGGCAGGAGGCCCAGAGTGTATCCTCGAAGTGAGTTGCTCTTGAGTTGGGAGAGATGTCTTCCCTTTTATACAAGTTAAGCCTTCTTGTCAAGGAATCATGTGGAGAAGCCCAGCTTCCTACAGAGTCAGCCATATAAGCAAAGAAGAGGCCTCCACGTGACTGGAATTATTTGCTGGGTGCTTCATGCTCTGACCATCAGAGGGCAGCAGAAGTCTGTCATAGAGCATTTCCAGGTAAGAGACTAAAAGGCAAAGTGAGGACCGGGCGCATAGGCTTACACCTGTAATCTAGCACTTCGGAAGGCAGAGGTGGGCGGATCGTGAGGTCGGGCGGATCGCGAGGTCAGGCGATCGAGACCAGCCTGGCCAACATGGTGCATCCCCATCTCTACTAAACAAAAATTAGCCAGGCTTGGTGGCACGTGGCTGTAATCCCAGCTGCTCAGGAATCTGAGGCAGGAGAATTGCTGGAGGTTGCAGTGAGCCAAGATCACACCACTGCACTCCAGCCTGGGTGACAGAGTGAGACTCCATATTCGAAAAATAAATAAATAAAAGGTAAAGTGAAAGCTTGCTATCTACCGTCTGAGCTCCTGGATCCCGACTGAACTGCACTTAATAAATTAAGACCCTAACATTATGCCCTCTGTTTTCATATGATGGGCATGCTGCTTCATTTCTGGTAACATTGATCCGGGGGACATTACCCACTATGTCGTATTAGTGTTTCTTGTACAAAGCCACAGGGTCAAATCTTGTGAAGCTCAAGATCAAGAAAAAGTTTCTCTCTTTAAGTTAATGTGAGAATGGACAGGGAAATAACTTACTGGGCATCATCTGTCTTGCCAGCCTCTGTGGTAGGGGCTTTCTAGAGCCGATGTTTCCATCTTTGCATTGGCTACCAGGGTGCCCAGAGCTCAGGTTTTGGAGTGAGGCCTGGATCTGAATCTATACTCTTCTGCTGCTTATTAGCTCTGTGCGTATGGGGCTAATAACATTACCACACCACCCACCTCACAGTATTGCGGTGAAGAGTCAATTATAAAGAAAGCACTGGCTGGGTGAGGTGGCTCATGCCTGTAATTTCAGCACTTTGGGAGTCAGAGGCGAGTGGAACACCTGAGGCCAGGAGTTTGAGACCAGCTTGGCCAACATGGTGAAACCTTGTCTCTACTAAAAATACAAAAATTAGCTGGGTGTGGTAGCGGGTGCCTGTAGTCCCAGCTACTTGGGAGGCTGAGGCAGGAGAATTGCTTGAATCCAGGATTTGGAGGCTGCAGTGAGCAGAGATCACGCCACTGCACTCCCGCCTAGGCCACAGAGTGAGACTCTGTCTTAGAAAAAAAAAAAAGGATTATAAAGAAAGCACTTAGCAGAGCCTGACACAAAGCACACACTCAGTAAATGTTAGCTGTTGTTATTCAATTTTTCTGACAAAATTGATCCCTCTTGCCTTCCTCTTTTATTACTTGTCCTCCCACCTTTTTAAATTCTTGGTTTGATGACTTTCATTTTAATGCAACTTGTTTTGTAGTATTTTATTTTTTGTTGTTTTTTGTGACAGGGTCTCACTCTGTCTTCCAGGCTAGAGTGCAGTGGTGCAATCATGGCTCACTGCAGCCTCAACCTCCCAGGTTCAAGCGATCCTCCTGCTTCAGCCTCCTAAGTAGCTGGGACTACAGGTGTACACCACCAAACCCAGCTAAACTTTGTATTTTTTGTAGAGACAGTGTTTCACCAAGTTGCCCAGGCTGGTCTCGAACTCCTGGCCTCAAGTGATCTACCTGCCTTGGCCTCCCAAAATGCTGGGATTAGATCATGACTCTAATGATCTATGATCATGACTGCACTCAGGTCTGAGCAACAGAATGAGACGCCATCTCAAAAAACCAAACCAAACCAAACCAAACCCTAAAAAATTTGTGGTTTTTCAAAAAGTTAAACGTGGAATTACCATATGACCCAGCAATTTCACTCTTAGGTATATACCCAAAAGAACAAAAAACAGGTGTCCAATGGCCAGGTGTGATGGCTGATACCTGAAACTCCAGTACTTTGGGAAGCAGGGGTGGGAGGATCACTTGAGAATGTGAGTTTGACATCAGGCTGGGCAACATAGTGAGACCCTTGTCTTTACAGAAAAATTAAAAAAAAATTACCAGGCTAGTGGTGGCACCATACCTGTAGTTCTAGCTACTCACAGGGCTGAGGTGGGAGGATTACTTGAGCCCAGGAATACAAGGCAGCAGTGAGCTAAGAGGGTGCTACTGCACTCCTGCCTGGTGACAAACAGACCCTATCTCTGAAAAAAAAAAAAAAAAAAGAAAAAAAAACCTCAAGCGAAAAACAAACAAATAAACAAAAACCCCAGATGTTCGAGCAAAAACTTGTGCACAAATGTTCATAGAAATACTACTGACAATAGCCAACAGGTGGAAGCAACTCTAATACCTATCAGCTGGTGAATGGAAAGTCAAAAGGTGGTATAGCAATGAATAAAATATTAATTCAGCCATGACAACAATGAAGTACCAATTCTTTTAAAACATGAATGGACCTTGAAAACCTGCTAAGTGAAAGAAGCCAGTCACAAAAGGCCAGATCTTACATAATTCCATTTATATGAAACGTCTACAATAGGCAAATCCATTGAGACAGAAAGTAGATTAGTGGTTGATAGGGGCTGGTTTTAGATCCTTGAGTGAGCTGGTCAATGTGCAGGTCCCAAACCCTGTTCCAGATATTTTGATTCGGTAGGTCAAAGATGGGGTGGGCCAAGGCAGTGGCTTGTTTGTTTATTCAGAGCAATATTTTTATTTTTATTATTTTTATTTATATTTATTTATTTATTTATTTATTTATTTATTTTTTGAGATGGAGTTTCGCTCTTGTTACCCAGGCTGGAGTGCAATGGCGCGATCTCAGCTCACCGCAACCTCCGCCTCCTGGGTTCAGGCAATTCTCCCGCCTCAGCCTCCTGAGTCGCTGGGATTACAGGCACATGCCACCATGCCCAGCTAATTTTTTGTATTTTTAGTAGAGACGGGGTTTCACCATGTTGACCAGGATGGTCTCGATCTCTTGACCTCGTGATCCACCCGCCTCAGCCTCCCAAAGGCTGGGATTACAGGCTTGAGCCACTGCGCCCGGCCAGAGCAATATTTTTAAAAAGCCCTCAGGGAATTCTAATGGGTGGTCTGGTTTGGGGATCTCTGAATTAGAGGTTCACAAAAATCCCACCAACTCTAAAGATATGTAGCCCAATTTAGTAATCTTTTTTTTTTTTTTGAGATGGAGTTTCGCTCTTGCCATCTAGGCTGGAGTGCAAAGGCACAATCTCAGCTCACTGCAACCTCTGCCTCCTGGTTTCAAACGATTCTCTGGCCTCAGCCTCCTGAGTTGCTGGGATTACAGGG